TGAACATGCCTCCTTAATCGCACTACTAGTCACATTTTTACACATCCAAAATTCGAGCCCCTTGCGCGCATGATGCACTTGATCTTTTGGGAGACATTGATAAGGGAAAACTAATGCAAAATCGAGAATTCTTTTCAATTTATCGTGTCCAAGTTAGCTATATGTCAATTAGAAGAGTCAATCGAAACTTCTTAACTCTTAGAACAAACAGGTTCCTTATATCTACCATATAAAATTGTTATTGACTCCACTATTATATTAACCATTATTTTTTATTTTGTTACCTAATTAGCTATCTTCGTGACCTCGGGCATTGGGAGGCATTGGGTCCTCTGGCTATCAGCTGTATTGGAAATGGCTCTATCGGCCAAATGACCCCATGTTCAATTTCCGCATCTGGTTCTACTGTTGCATCTACTCTTGGTACCATTGGGGGAGGAGGTGGAAGCGCTTTTTGGGGTCTGCATGCCGAGGCAGCATGGAGACACGGCGAGTGGAATGAAGTTTACGCTTCGCTTGCTGGAGTAAGTGATTGACTTATCTTCAAAGCTACTAGCAGGTCTTACATGAGTTGAGAAGTTGAGGGCTACAGGCCTTAATCCCTCTATACGGGTGATCGGTCCTTCTCTGCATATAAACACGCACTAACACTTCACTACAATGTTGCCCAGTTCGTAGGGCTAAGGTGCTATTTGAATTTACTATATAAAGGCATAACTAAGAGTATATTCGTATTCTACTTTAAGAGTAAATATCAAGAGGAATTCTATCTTTTATTCAAATCAGTGTTTTTAATTATTGTTTCTTAAGTTTAATAATTTTACTACATATGGTTTTTAGATGACTTAGTTCAGTTGATTGTATTGCCTACTTTTACGCCTTTTATAAGAAACTGGATAGTGCCAACTCTTTTTACTCGGATTAAAAATTATGCTTGGGATAGTTATTTTGCTTTAAACTAAGTTACTCATCCTCATTTACGATCTCTTGACATCCGATTTATGCTGAAGTTCCTAATTGTTTTATTTTTACTTTACTTTATTGTCCTGTTTTCTTTGGCCAAATTATCAATTGATCCGCTACTTAATATTTTAATTTTTATTCTCGATCTATTCATTAGCCGATTCGTTATTCAGGGTCATTTCCTTTCATCTTTTTTGCTTAATTTTAACCAGCTAGCCAATGAATGTCCACGCAGCGACCTTTGGCGCTATGCCATGATCCAAGCTTCGGCCTCTGTAATCGGTCGTCGTGCCGCCCTTGCCCTCTCTGGTTCTTTTTTGCCTAACGAAGGTCTTGATGTCTTGCCAGCATCGCGCACCTCTGCTACCTCGAGCGCTACTGGAATTGGCCAGAGTGCTACTGCTGTAAGTGGACTGCATTCTGCCGGAGGTCTCCTCTCCTCAGCAGAGACCGAGGGTCAGCGAGTCATGACTACTTTGCTTCGCGAATGGCGCCGTCTGCCATTTATACCTGGCGACCAGCACGTCCCTCTTCTACAAGTAAGCATATATATACATATATAATTGTGTGTGTGTGACAGGCCTGGTAACGAGATTTACTAGCCTATGTGCACGCCGAATTGAGTGAAGTTAGACCTCATGCTTAAGTTATGTAGCTAAAGTGAAAGAGCAAGGTGCGTTTTGTGGCTGGTTTTGCAGTGGATAAATTGAGCACTAGACCTTCATAATAGCGCTTCTAATGGAAGCCAGATACAAAGGCACCCGGGAATGCGATGGAAGGTTAGTTGGTAAGAGTTAATAATAGCTAGAATATCTGGTTTCTCAAGCCATGAAGATTTAAAAAATGAGCAGCAGAAGTAATTCATGGTTTTCATATCTGTCCTCTGTCGGCTATCGGCCAGTCATGTGAATAACTCCTCGAGCCTGACGGATATGTTGGTAGGGATCGAGGACCTACAGTCGACCAGTTATGCAAGACAGTTTTTTTTAATGCGGTAGGGAACATCCAAAGGGAGTTTGGTGAAATTCATGTCTGAGGGGAAGTGCCGATTAGGATCAGGAAACCCTGCAAATAGTATCATAAACAAGTGGTGAAGGTGAATAAGCTTCACCGTATCCCCTTAAAGAAACACATTTTTGAAAGACGGATCAAACGAAGACACAGAGTGGTGTAGCCAGATGGATTGGCCATATGAAATAGGATTAAAGGATGAAGATATAGAGCAAAGATCTATGGCAAGAGAGGGGAGAGATGCCTCAACAATTGAGCTGAAAATTTATATAAAAGATTGTACTTGTCACCTGGACCAGTTGTAACTTGATGTTAAGGCTGGCTCTTTTCACTGAAGATGCCGGTGAAACGTCTGGGATTGTACCAAGTCACTGGTCTGGTGCTGGAAATTGTCTTGACTATTATGGTAGTAGACATGGCTGAGCGTGCATCATAAGATCTTCTTGCTAACCTGATCAAATCACGAAAACGAGATCAAACCAACTACATCCAAATGTGAGCCTACAGAAGAGTTTAATTTGGAATAACTTAATTATGCAAATTAATAGGAATTGGGTTTCGAGACTATCGGTTAAACTCGTGTTACTTATATAAAGTTGTGTGAAGAAAAGAACAGTATATTTGCATATGTTTTTATAAATGACAAAGTTATGGCCTGCTCCAACCAAGTAACATTTAACTATGGATTAACTATAATAGACTAGCCGTTAATTGATTGTTCTTTTATACTTAATTTCTAATTAGTTATTTAATAAGAATCTGGCTTTTATTGATCTTAGTAAAGACAGTTTATGGATCTCTTTATACTTCTAAGCTTGGACGCTTAACTGTTGCATTAAAATAATATTGTTGTGAAGACTTTCATTTCGTATGAAAAGACATGGGGAGAAGATTCGTAGGCCAATCTCACCAGAACACTCCGGCTGATTTTCGTTGTACTGCAGTCGCTTGGCTTTAATACGATTGATGCAGTCTAGAAAACAGCCTCCAACGTTTCGGTAGAAGATGGGATGAGCTTTCGTTCATCATTTGATGGATATCGTCAGAGCCAAGATACAGTGTTAACTTGAGGCTATTGCAATAATGAGTCCCAGCTCTGACGATATTCGTCATATGACGAACGAACGCTCAGCCCATCTTCGCTCGAAACGTAGGATTTATATTTGACTGCATCGTCGTAGGAAAACCAAACAACTGAAGTACAACGGGAATCAGCCATCGTGTTCAGGTGAGATTGCCCTACGAATCTCTTCATCATGCACTTTCATACGAAATTTTAATCTCTTATCTCGAAAGATTCTTCCCAACCAGCATTATTTTCGTATATTAAAATGATAAAATAAATCACCTTAGACCTCTTTTGGTGTCTTAGGGCTAGTATTCAGATTGAGTAAGTTTTAAACTCATCAAATCTGGAATAGGACAGGTAGCTAAATTTTCCAAATGTTATGGGAAGGCCTCAAGTTCATTTTAATTTTGCCAAGCTTTGTTTCCGAAAGGGCATTCTCATCCAGGCTGGACTGCAATTTCTATCTCGCTTCGATATCATCAGCACCTCTAGAAGTAATCGAACCCAGGTGTCGCCTTCGTATAATCTTGATGCGTTACCACCACGCCACACTGCGATGAGGGCCTCGGTGTCACGAGACAGATGTGAATTTAAAACAATCTCTGTCCTATCCTTCAATATAATTATGATGTGATTTTCTACTAATTAAACTTTTATTTGATTTTAGCATCGACTGCATTACTTATATTCGGATTGGTTAGGTTTCTAGCATAATATTATTATTCTAGATTTATTGAAGCTGCAGTCTCTCCTAGATGCTAATACCTTTTGTGAAGTATGACTAAATGAAGTT